CTTAGGCATGAAACACTTCGGGAGATTGGACCGCGAAGTGGTCAAAGGGTGTAGCTCCCCAGATAGATATTTTTACATTAAGTGGTCACGATGAGTCAGTTAGCATAAAGGTTGAGAGCGGTATGTCTGAGATCCTCTCATGCGATATGCAGTTTACTTGAACTATCCGAGACCCATCGATTAACAGGTTGATCTGTCTACTCAAAACTGTAAAATCTCTTTGATAAAGCGAGTGTACACGATGTATCGTTCTTTTTATTTTAATGCTGGAATGAAACTAAAAATTAGGAACTAATTACTTACAAACTAAAAGTAAAACTTAATATTTAAGTGAAAAATCTTAAACTAAATCATAATACAAGAAGACGCCTTTAGAATTTTAAAAACGGAGGAACTTCAGGAAGTTGCATAATTTTTTATACGAAGGTGTCAGAGATGACTTTATCCTCTACTAGTGGCGTGGCGTGGCGTGATTTGTGATTTATCGATTGATCGGCCGTTTAAACCTATAGAAAAGGATCCATAGGCAGGGTGTTCGCAGCGAATACCTTAATAATCGATTCTTTACCGTCGGTTTATATGGCATAAAAATTGATATATCGCAATTCACGCCACGTCACTGTCCTCTGCATGCCGTACGCATATTCTGCCGTGATGAAGAAAAACGCCGTATGAGCTATCTGACGTTGCCAAATTGTCTTCGATCAAATATGAATTTTCAGGGAAATGTGAGAACATTTTCTTTTGAATTTTTCAGAGAAAATTATTCGCGACCAGATCCGAATTATCTGAAAATTTCAAGGGAAAATGTCCGTAACTCTCCTCACAAATAAACATTTTATCGGAGAAAATTTTGCAACTCTCGAATGTTCATACGGCGTTTTTCCTTAGCACGGCAGTATGATGGCTCGTACATATTTGCAAGGCCGACGACGTATTCGAGACGGCTCCACCCGCAGCTAATTCAAATGCGAAGCTAATAATTGAAGTGCAAAGCGGGGAGCAGCAACTTGATCAAAATACTTGTAGCTGAGCTTTCGGGAATAAGCTCAACAAACAATCGGGAGCGGGAACAGATTCGGGACAAGACTATCTTCTCCGCCTCAACTCGGTGAGAAGGAGTCGAGTCGGGCCGGGGCCGGCACCGCGAAACAGGAAGCAGCTCAAACTTGCGTGCGGTTTGCGCCACAAGCATAGAGTACATAGAGTCGTAATGTAAATGGGAGAGCTGGCGCCATGTTCTGCTCGACGAGTTCCGAGCCCGGTGTGCGCCGAGTTCGGGTCACTTTTTCGATACATTTTCGATCCAAAATGGCGGTGTGGAATACATGGTGATTCCTATCTCCTTCGTTGTTGTTGTTGTTGTCATCGGATGGCCGGGTACCCGTGTATCGCAAACAATCGATTATGTATCGAAAAAGTGACCCGGCGTCACACAGGAGTCTCGGAATTCGGGACATGGAAAATGCTTAAAAGTGGCGCCAGCTCTCCCAATTACATTACGACTCTATGTACTCTATGGCCACAAGACAAAGCGAACCCCCGACAGAATCACTTTGTTGCCATGTGGACTTCGTCAGCTGTCCTTCAACCTCTTAGGCCTTGGCTCCACGAGACTTTTCATGGGATTTGTCCCGAGGAAAAATCTCACTTGCGAAGTTGGGGAAAATATTGAGTTAGTCAATACTAATCACAGTTCCAAGTAAGAGTCCTTGTGGAGTTCCAGGAACGATTTAAAAAGAAGAAGAAGAAACTGTTTCGTGTTGTTTATAAAAAAAACGGAATCTATGAAAAAAAACATAAAAAAGTGAAATTAAGAAATGTGGAGATTGCAGAAAAACTTAACCTCAAATGATATCAAAAATTTTGAGGATTGAAAATTGGTATGGATGAAGTAGATAAATTTTAGCAATTCCATAAGGTGAACCGAACCCATTCCACAAAGAATCCTTGCACCTTTTGTACGCGGCTCAGGCAACCTAACTTGCTTCACAAAGAAGCTGGTTGCGTCGAGCAAACTGAAGGGATTGTAAGAGGCATTAAGTTTCCATAATTTTTACAAAAGATGTTACATTCCTGCGATTCGAACGTGAGAAATATTCCGTGAAACAACCCGTGGAGACAAAGCGTTTCCAACTTCCTCACTCCACCCTAGATCATTCTGTCCCGGAGCGAGACGAAAATCGTGGTATCAAAACATTCGCTGGTTTCATTTTTAATTTGGGTCATGAAGGTTTCCACTCAAAGAGCACGGGGTTGTACTCTCAAAGAGAAAACGAAAAATTGACCATAATCTGAATCGGTGGGTCTTGTCCGCACGAGCAACGATTAACAGAACTTTGTCGGAACAAGCTCGCGGAAATTTTAGTTGCGCATCGTTTTTCGCCTCTTTTCTGTGCGTAGACGGAATAAGTCATAAATCAGCTATAATTTATTCCGTCGAAGTTTTGGAAACTCGGCGCGTGTGGACAGTGACGTCTAATGCACTTCCGAGAAATATATTTTAGTCCATGCTGAAATGTGGAAGAGGGGACAATCGCAAGAGACACTGATCTCTTGAATAGAGACAACGTAGAGGCAGTGTATTCTCATGAGTCAAATAGGGATATTTTTAGGGGGTATCTGTCTACTATCCCTATGCAATATTGATCGCGAGGCGAAATTTCCAAGGACAAGGAACATTAAGACAATTTCACTTGGCAACATTTTTGGCAATATTGTTGAACAATATCGCCTCCTCCTCCCCTCCCCACAAAGAAAATCCTGCCACTATTTGAAATGCCGTGGATATTAACATTCAGGCGAAAAAAGCACCGACACTTTTTTACGCCAATACAACCCATTGATGAAATATTCCCTGACATTATTGCTCTTTTTCTCATAATTGATATTGCCTCAACGTTGCCAAGACATTCTCTATCAAAAACTCCAGAACTCATAGGATATTTAAGCAACCTCAAAGCAGTATCTGTAGGGTGGGGAATGTTGTCAGCTTCCCTTCAGTCAGAGCTCTCATATCTTGAAAGATCCGCAACTATGTTTTTAAATTCTACTCCCCTCCAAACTTTTCGATATTCTTAAAGTTTGGAACTCGCCAAAATTTCGTTCAAAACGTAGCTCGCCACGTGAAACCCACGAACCCGGCGGCCTCTTTTTAACGCTCAATTCTACCATTAATTAACCAAAAATCTTAGGCTATTGCCTTCCCCATATCGCACTAAAGCAAGGAACAGTACGGGTTCGGGACTATTTCCTGTTGTCCAGATTTTCCAGGAAGGGAGAGGGAGGAAGATTATTTTTTTCCAAATCCGAAGGGGAAGGGGACAGGCTGAAGAACTGCGCCCATGATATAAGAGACCTCAAGCAAATGGTTAAAAAATTAGGCGGATTTTAAAACTGGATCAGCAAATGCGGAATGATGCTGGAAAATGTGGCAATGTTACCCGTTGAAGACCGCGCGGCATTTGAATGCGCTATGCTCTCGATTCAGAATATTCTAGCCGTCACATTGACTGCCGAGTGTCGAGTCACCCTATCAGATAGCAAAAAGGAACGCGTTTTGCAAACACTTGCCGACCAGTTCACATGTTACCACAACATTTAAAAAGACGAGGAATTCGTGCAAAAAAATAAATTAAAAATTCATTTATATTCTCGATTTTTTCTTCGGAAACATCCGATTTTTATTTAATAAATTGTATGCTCATGGAGAGTAAATGGACATATTTCTGCAGAACGGAACTAAAACGTGTGGGAAAGATGAGGTGTGCTGGTGGTGAGCCGCACAAGAAATAATGTTAAAGTAGGCGTGATTCCCTCTGGGGAAATGGAAAAACGGGATTTTACGTTGAATCACACGGAACCAAGCTCCAACTTTATGCTAACTCATGAGCCGTGGGCATGTAACAAGAGCGTCGTGGACAGGGTTTATGTAGTAAAGACTCCTACAAGCGCCCGCTGACGTCACTGGCGCTTTGTAATTCCCATTCATTTCTTACGGCCCGAGAACTAACGAGCACACCCCTTCTTTTCCACCTTCCTTCGGTTCCGTGTAGCAGAAGAACATCCTAATATAGTTCTTACACAGGAATTTGTCACCTTTGAAGAAGTCGCGTCGATTTCATAATACATTCTACTATTTTTCAATGATTCAGTGTCAACCCTTAAAAAGGTGCAACTGATGTGGGTTTGAATCAGTGCCTTTCCTAACAGTAGAATTGCAACTGCATTTTTTTGTCAACACAATACCAAATATACACACATCTAAATTAGTAAACAAAATAAAACATATTGTCTAAGACTAGAAATTGGCAATCTGCATTTGAAAATCGTGGCACTATTGGTTTAGTTTTGAAATTGTCTCGAAGAATTTCAATGGAGAGTGACAATGACCTTACCTGAACTATACGAGTCACTAGATACGCACATATTAAGTCTCTTATGCAATCAATAGTGAAAAATAAATAAAAAGAAAATCACAGAGGTCGTGTTTTTTCTTTAAAAAAAGTCATGTTACTGAATGCATCCTGTATTCAGTAGTGTATTTACTAGACAGCGTCAAATCTTACCCCAAATTCTCTCCGTACCATCACTCGAGAGGGATGAAACAGGGCTTTTCCATTCTGCAAAGAATATGCTGTAATCCATACATATGTTTTCTCGATGAGAAAAAATCGTGAAAACTTTAATCCGGAACAAACATAAAAACATCGAATCGCTCAATTCCCGCAAAATGAAATAAATAGATAAAAACTGTACAATTAATCAATTCAATGAAGAGAAAGATACATTTCATGGTAAAAGAGTTAGAATGATTGTCACGTTGGAAGCATCATTCAAGCAACAGGCGAAGGGTGGGGGAGCTGACATGCATAGAACACCATCAGCGTGCACGTCAATATGACGTAGTATCAGCTATTCATCAGAAAATTTCAATGCATGTTCCCCCCAGCGCATTGTTAGAACTTGATCGAATAATTCGTCTTTTTTTCTGATTTCAGAAACAGCAATGTTGTTACCAGTTTCACTATCGCTGAGTCGGAAAATTAACGAGACGTCGGACATCCGACGGAATTTGAGGTTCAGATACCCCAAAGATCCAGCCGAGAATTTCAACAAAGAGTAAGTTTCAACTTGCATGTTTGGTTTTGACGTAGGGTCGGCCGTCCCGCTTCAGCCACTAGTGGCGAGGGGCCTGAAAGCCCTTTAGTTTTGTTGAAGAGTTTTGTTTTCTCTGGGCTCAGTTTTATGTTTGAAATTTAGTTGCAAGTGAACATAACAATATTAAAATTCCTTCGTATGCTATTGTATTTTGGGTTTTATTCAGGACTGTTGGGAGCCGTAACCATCTCAAGAACTTACAAAAATGGAACATAAAAGGTGGAAAACGGAATGAAAAACTAGCTCAATGGTTGCAATTTCTGACTATAACAAATTGATGAAAGAATGTGGGAATACAGTATTCAGCAAGTTTCCCCGTGTATTGTGGTTGAAAGGGGTTTTTTTTCTCTTTTTTCTTTTGGCCAGAGGAGCCTATCTGCAGTGGGGACAACAAACCCTTACTGCCTGCTGCGTCCTGCTTTCAAAATAGAGTATTGCTTAGTTATGACTAAAGTGTCCCGATTGAAGTCGATTGAAGTTTCCGCTCAACGCGCGCCGACCGATTTTCGCGCGCAAAAAAGTCGGATTTGACTGTTATTAAATCAGATTTAATGTTCAAACTGAGCAAAATGCATTATTAGGGACCCTTGAGGGTCGCTGAGTCCAGGAATTACAGATACTTCCAAAAAATTCACGTTTTTAAAATTACAGCTCCCGACAGGACCACTGAGCGGCCGGTCGGCGCTCAGTGGGCCTCTAAAATAGCGCTACGGAGCTGTAATTTTAAAAACGTGAATTTTTTGGAAGTATCTGTACTTTCTGCACTCAGCGACCCTCAAGAGTCCCTAATAATGCATTTTGCTCAGTTTGAACATTAAATCTGATTTAATAACAGTCAAATCCGACTTTTTTGCGCGCGAAAATCGGTCGGCGCGCGTTGAGCGGAAACTTCAATCGATCATAACTCCGGAACCGTTCGGTTCCCCAGCTTATACGACCACTCGTTGGATGCGGAAAAAGACGAACAATTTAAAAAACTGGTTTTGGTTCAAATCAAAAAATGTGAAATTTCAGTTTAATCTGTTTAAAAGAAATTGTTTTTCCTCAAAAACTGAAAAAAGCACATAAGTTAAGGTTAAAAATTTAATTTTGGGATTTTGACCTTTAAAATTTTAAAGTATGCAATTTTAGACGATTTTTCGTCCAAACCGGGCCTCAATATCTTATTTCGTTCGAAAGATATCGAGGGTCACAGGTTTTGACTTCCACCCCCCCTAGCGCCCCCCCAAAATTTTTTGGGGGTCTGAAAATTTGGGGAAAGAAGCGCTTCAGTATTAGTAACTGATAGACGAAGTTTGAATAAGTTTTAGTGGGGGGGGGGGCGAAAAATGTCGTTTTTGCATACGGCTCTTTTTTTGCGTCCAACTTTCCATCCAACTTTTCGTTCAATTATGTCGGATGAAAAGTTTGATAGCGTAGTTGGGCTCGAAAGAGCACCTCATCAGGGGGAGCAATGGGAAGGCACCGAAAGACATCCAACGATGGGGCTCTTGGGGAGGACTCCACCAACTCCAAAAGGGAAATTCTAAGGGGCACACAATGTGCGGAGTCAGTTATAGAGGTTTTCATAAATGTCCTTTTCTGTGGTGACGACCTCCTGCTCGACGAGCTCATCCCAGTTGTTGATGGTGGCGAGGCAGGAAGTAAGCGCCACGATCTTGAAGTCCTTGGGTTTGGGGTCGGCCAACTTGCGGTGGTTGATCTTGACGGTGCAGCACCACTTCTTCTCGTGGTACATGCACTTGGGCTCGTGTGCGCCCGGGCAGTGCTCGTGGTACTCGGGCGGGGTCATGTGGAAGAAGCGGAGGTACCCGCCGCACATCTCGTGGACGTATTTCACGATGTGGGTGTTGTTGCCGGTGGCGGCCTCGCCGATCCTCCGGCACGGGTCGTGGCCCCTGTTCAGCCAACGTAGGTTCTTCCACTGCCAGTTCGCCAGATAATCTGACGTCCACGCCATCTGAAAATATTCATCGTGTAAGTGGGAGTTATCATAGACAAAAGACCCCTCCACTGGCCTCTTGGCGACAGGTGGAAGCTTTTACTTTTGGGGATTCAACAATGGACCACTAGACAAGGTACGAATTTAAGGATGATACATGTTTCTTAACCAAAATTTCACTTAGAACACGATTCTTGCATCGAAAATCACCGAAATCATTTCCTACTTACACTGGGAAAAAAACACATTGGATCTAGAGTCCAGACTCTCAAAAACATCCACAAGAAAAAATACTCTTTGATTCAATCAGATTTAAGCTTAAATCAACAACCGAGCCTCTTAATTAAAGCGGATTTCCTTTTGATTTAAGCTTAAATCTGATTGAATCAAGAGTTCTTTTTCTTGTCAATGTTTGCAAGAGTCTGGACTCTAGATCCAATGTGTTTTTTTTTTTTCCAGTGTAAGATATTACCGGCTTTATTTTACTTGGTTATGGGAACTTTGAATGGGCCTGTTGCAAACTTTTGCTAGAGCAAAAATAAGAGTTGTTTCTTATAGATAATGCCTCAAAAATAACGATGAGCGCATCGGCAAAGTCTGAAATGCACTCATAACTTCACAGTCTGCGTAAGAAATTTGCGTTTTTTTGAGCTTCCCGCTTCAAAAACGATACTACGGCACGGATGAACATTTTGTAAGAGGAGTCGTTCCATCGTCGGCAATACTCATCATGGCCGACGTCAATCCGCCAAAACACGTGTGATGGGACGAGATAACACCTGAACTGGATTAGACCAGATAACAATCGGCGTGTTTACGTTCATATTTTCCACTCCCGAATTGATTGACCTTGAACTCTCCTCGAAGTACGCGCGGAACTGCGCGCAAGCGTCGGCCATGATGAATATCGCCGACGATGGAGCGACTCCTCTAACAAAATGTTTGCCTGTGCCATAGTATCGTTTTTGAAGCGGGAAGCTTAAAAAAACGCAAATTTCTTACGCAGATTGTGAAGTTATGAGTGCATTTCAGACTTTGCCGATGCGCTCATCGTGATTTTTGAGGCATTATCTATAAGAAACAACTCTTATTTTTGCTCTAGCAAAAGTTTGCAACAGGCCCATTGCCCGATCACACGAAACTCAATAGTCTACGTGAGTCCAATCGCGTACTACACCGGTTTTGGCAGGCTTCTCAATCCAGCACTGTTCATTTCCCACCCTGTGTTGTTCAAACTATAAACAACTTGCTACAACTGAGCCAAAGCGTCAAGATTGATGTTGCCAGATTTTCATATCGCAGAGAAAGTCATGGTAATTTTTAGTGTGTGATTTGACTCACGTACACCATCGAGTTTTCATGAGCGGGAGGTTTGAATTTACGCGTCAAGAAACCTTGAATATATTGGTCAGGAGTAATTCTCAGTCATTTTCGTTCCGCAAATCGTGTTCTGGGTAAAATTCTGGTTCAGAAACATGTATCAGAATGCTTAACTTCGTACTGTGTTCTGGGTAAAATTCTGGTTCAGAAACATGTATCAGAATGCTTAACTTCGTACTTTGTGTAGTGGTCCATTCCTTATGGACAATATTATAAGGGAGCAACAGTAATGACTCTTTTTTCGGTTGCTGACCTACATGGTGGATGATGAGCTTCAGGTGACGTCATGAGCCAAACAAGTTGCTCAAACTCCGGCTTGATTACGAAACGAAACTGCCAACACGTTGTTAAACATCGTTGAGTCTCACAATAACAACGGTGAGGCTCATAGTGTCCTTCTTATAATTTTCTTGTTTTGCCTGTTGAAAATGCGGGTGTGATCCCTGCGAAACGTCCCGGATTTTTTATTTTATTTTATGTTTATTATTTGTGGCCTCAGTCCCGTTTTAAGTTGTTTCTTTTAAACATCAACCATGTAGGCAATTCAACAGTTAAGTGTTGAAGTCCCGAAAGTAAAAGCTTTCACCATAGCCGAGATACGAGTGGATGGTCTCTTGTCTCTGGGAGTTATTCTTAAGAAGGAACCATGCTGTCCGAAATTGTTGATGGTTATATTAGGGTGTGGAGGAGTTGGTCCTCATTTCACAAGCCAACGTAAGTTATCTACAGTCTTATCGATGGCCAAACTGTGAAACTATTTAGCTTCGTTTACGACGTTGCAGACTTCCTGTCGTACTGTATTTTTTCTGTAGAAAACTATTCAAATTAATTTCTTGATAACTGCCTTGATCGTTTTTTCTATTAGCAGAATTTTCTGTATAAATCGCAAAAATACTCACGAGCATTCTGGCTTTCCTTATTCTTCAACTTCACTGCAGACGCGTTTCGCTCACCGTACGGGGCTTCTTCAGTGCTGACTTCTAACACTAAAATACTAAAAAAACGCTGAAAAATCCAACGATGGTCCTCGTGAAATTGGACCATCGTTGGACGTATTAGTGTTACGTGCCATGCACTGAAGAAGCCCCGTATGGGAGGCGAAACGCATCTACAATGACCTTGAAGAACAAAAGAATGCCAGAATGCTCGTGAGTAGTCTGGCGAATTCAAACGTTAATTCTGTATTTTCTGAATACAAAGAATGCTTGTTTTTCTTCGAAATAATAAAATAAAAGCTGATATTTTGAAATACCACATTAGAGATACGTGGTTTCGCCCTAGGAAATCGTGAAATCTTTGCGCGCGTTACTGACAAAATAAACACAGAACACACGATGGGGCCATTTTCTCATTTCTGGAAAGAAGCCTCACACAAAGAGTCCTAGACCTTCTAACAGCGTTGTCTCGTTTAAGACTTCAAATTGAGTTTTGTGTGGACCTTGAGAGTTCTTATTGTAAACAACCATCGTTTCGTAAACTTTCATTCAGATCTAGGTTTTCGATTTAAACTACCATATTAGCTAACTTTTAGGGATACACGAACCAGTCTCAGTTTTGAGATTCCTCGGTTTCATTAGTTCCATTCGCCGTAGTGCTGTACCACAAGTCGATTAAGGCAGAGTACGTGAGACTTACATTAACACTGAGAGCGCAAATTACTCCTTGGAACAATAATTTAATTTTCATGTTTGTTTTTTGCCTTAAACCATCGCTACAAAATCATGGTTCACAAGATCCACTCCCTAGATGATGAGAGAACCAAGAACTGAGACTTCAGACATTTAAAGAAAACACGAGGTATGCCGAAAAGAGGGTTAAGAGCATCCGTGCATTACGTTAGTATTTACATAATTGAATTTTCTGTGTCATGAATGAGTGTTTTTGATTGATAAGACAACAACGTGATGAACGCGTCCGATTTTAAAGCTCCCCTCCCCCTTCCACCACCACCCGCATTCTATATTGTGCGGTAGAATGGTTTGTTAAAAATTAGAGACACATTTAGTGTGTCCCCCGAAAGTGAGAATTATTGTAGGAAACATGCGTATATTTCTAAGTTTGATTACAGGTTTTGCTTTTTTCTCTCCTACGTCAAGCCTGGAAACGAATCACACTGCTACGAGAAATGGGCTTAGATAATTTTTAAAAAGACTTATTTTATTTTGCCTCGTTAATTTTATTCATTTTTAATGGTCAGCATTGTGGGCGTGCCGTGAAGGTTTTAAAACGTGTTGCTATTTTGTTATTAATTTGTCAGTCCTATGCTGCCGTCCAAAGTCAAAACGCCGTATGTCCATTCGACATTTTTTCGATTTTTCTCTGACAAAATAATATTTTACAAGAAGCCCAAGGAATGTTCATTCTTCATTTTTTCTAGTCAATTTTGGCATACCATTAGGAACTCAAAATCTTAAGAAAAATGAAGCCTTGACACACTTTGGATTTTTTTGTATTAGAGTAGTATGTGTGGAAGAAAAATACAAAATTTGCAATGGAGTTACAGCTCCTTTGTTGTGAACGGCAGTATGATTATGTACTCAATACTCTCCATTATTGTTCCCGTGAGTTTTCATACTTCTCATCACAAATGGGTGCTCGAATGACTTCAGTGTGTCTCAAACATCTTGGGTTAACTCGAGGTATAATCTATGGCATATCCGCTCTTATTTTGAAAAGGAAGCTTATTGAAATTTTCGTCTAAAACTTAGTCTGAGAGAGTAAATAGAAAAAAACATTCGCAGTGTCATAATAGGTATAAAAGGTTTTTTTCTCGTCCAAATTAAGTGCAACGTAAGATTTGTAATAATGTTGTCAACCTCAGAGAAAGGCTTTCTACCTTTTCCGTAGATTGCCGACGGTTATAACTTTTATATGGTAGAACATAGAGCGGGCTTCTTGAAAATGTTCGGAGCTTAACCAAAAGTTCAGATTAAAAAAAAATTGCATGTATGTAAGTAACTGATACTTTTACTACCATTTTCAGAAACTGTAAAAAGCTGCTCGTTTCTGCAAAAAAAATTCGGGTTTCTTGTTATCAGTGACAAGTGCAATTTAATTTTCATCTCATCCAAAGATAGCTCATTTCAAAGGAGTTAAACACACAAATTGTTGCCTTCATGAGATGCAACATCAGATAATTTTAAATAATCCTGTTTTCTACTGTTATTTTCTTTTTCTACTCCTCTCTCTTATAGCTCGCCACACCTGTTACTTAATCCTCATAATCTTCCAATTTTATTCTCAAGATAAACATAAACCATTACCAGTTTTTTTTTTTTTTTTTTTTTTTTTTTTTTTTTTTTAATTCTAGAAAATTTACTTATTTCTTTACATTTGTAAAATTACATTACAATATTTCTTCAGTAAAGAAAAGTTATGGAGGCCCAAAATACGATAGCGAAAACACAATAAAAACCGTGAGAAACAAGGCTAAGAATGTATGAAAACATTCGCAGGACGTTTCGGCTGGTGACCCAAACCATTTTTATCTGCTAAAATAAATACAAAATTAAAAAAAAGGCTAACAGTACAGCTACATTTAAAACCGTGTGATCAGCCCCAACGAAAAATTAGGACTGATAAGATGTAAACAACTTAATCAACCCTCAACAAGAAACATCGTTGACTAGGACCGGTCAACTCTCCGTAGTGTCACATATTACCACGATAGCTATTACGTCCCAACTTGGAGAAACGAGTGGTTAAGGAAATTGAGTTTGCTTATATCTGATCGAGCATTACACACCTTTCCCTATTGTTTCAAAATTTCGATAATTTCCTTTAGCATACGCGGGAATTATCTTTTCTCGTGACATAAGATTTTCCGTATCCTGCTGGTGTTTGTGTAGGGCAGTAACTTCTGGTTATTTGCGGTCATATTTATGACCGTTAAGCCGCTTAGATAAATTATTCCTAGTCTGGCCTGTATACGCCAAGTCACCGTCATTACAAGGAATATGATGAACTATACTCCGGCTGCATCCATATCTCAGCCTTAAGCTTATTGTTAGACAAAATGCACTGCAAAGTGTTATACCTTATATGAACCACCTGATAACCATAGTCTCTGCGTATCTCTGAAAGATTCCCAGGAAGATACGGCACATGAGAGATACTCACAACTTTTTCAACCTTGAAGATGTTATTAAGGTCAGGCTCCCAGGTTTTCCTATATTGCTTAAAACTCTTCTAAAGATGTTGTTGACAAATTTTTCTGGGTGACAGTTTTCCATGAGTAATTTTTTTCCAACTCTAATCATTTCAAAGCGAAACTTCCTTTGCGACAGACCAATTATGCAGCGTACTAAGTTAAGGGCCAATATTTTTTTTTTCAATAGAAGTAGGCTAAACAGATAGAAAATTAACATGGTGGCCCGACTGTTCTCAAAAGAGGTTCTTCGTTCAGAACAAATCATTTGATTTGTATAGGCACAGAGGTGTGAGTGCTGAGCAACATGTCCGTAAATGGACTGACTGCTCGAATTTCCTCCGTTGGAGGTCTTCAGGTTGGCTGATTAGTCGCGTTGCGGCTAGCCGCCAGAAGTAAAACTTAGGAGTTGTTGGGTGGCTAACGGTAGAGGGCGTGAGCCACTCTGCTAGTGTGGCTCCCGCCGGAGTTTGGCATTCTGATCGGCACGGCATCTCAAAGTGTTTGAGCTTGTAATCGGGACTGACTGACTATGCACACTTGATTATCGCTAACAAGCGTGAAAGCGGTAGTGGCATTGACAATATGCCTGATTTCAATACCCACACCCAATACACCTCAAATGAGGTTCTCGCTAGTAGGGGGAAATCCATACAGAAAATAAATGTGTCCGATACTTCGTTACAAACTGTATTTTATATACAATATATATATTTGAATATGAATGGCATATTTTTTCGTGATTTACGACCCGTCTTATGGGTGCTCATCACAAGGTCTTAGGTCTGGGTCCGACATCATAGGAGAATGCAATAGTGTATTTCCTTCCGCAAATACACTATTTGTACTGTAAGAATCAGTAGCTTGTCAGCAATAAAGAGGCTGTTTACATATTCTGACCCTCGATTTTTCTTTGCTTATTTCACATTATCACTCTTCACCTTCAATATAAGCACTTATTGGATCGAAAAACGAGGAAACGTCTCCTTCACTTACAGAGGGTTTATCCACCGAGAGTAATTGCTTGATTTTTTTTTTTTTTTTTTTTTTTTTTTTTTTTTTGGAAAGAAACGGATGAATTTTAACGGTCTGTGGATACCATCTAACTTGAAAAGTATGCTATTAGATAAAATGGTCATTAAACTCAAACGCATCGACCATCGAGCGCTTAGGCTGAAATAATGGACTTTCCCTAAGCTACTACGGTGAAGCGGTAAAGAAAGAAATATGAAAAAGAAACCTGTATTTTATTTTATTTTTGAATAAATCTTACAAATGAAGTTAGCATGCACAACCGAAATCAGGCGTGCTTAGCCTATTGCGCCATATTGGGTTTTCTGCGTGGTTGTTTGCGTGTATTGCGATTGTGCGACTCCCGGTCCCACTGCAGCAACAGGTATATAAGGCTTGGCAGCACATAATGAAATCAACCCCATGGCTGCGACAAGGACGAAAATAACGAGACCAATGATCTTCATTTCGGTAACTTTTCTTTTCACAGCGAGAGATGTGGGGACAACTGAAATCACAAAATAATATCATGAAATAAGACATAGTCAATGGAGACAGCACCGCCAAAAGCTCAGAATTAAAATATTTTGCACACCTGGAAAGAAAGTATTCATACAAAATATCAGCGGGAAAGGCCCCAAAAATGTCGAAGCAATCAGAATCATGACGATTTCTAGGTTTGCAGCCAAAGATATATTCTAGCATCCACTTTCAGTTTTAATTTTTTTTGCACAAGACTCCGTTTTGTTGATTATAATGAATCCTGGAGTCTTCTTGTTTCACTATAATGACTTTAACCGCCCGGAGGTTATTTTATTAGATTGCTCCTCTTTTGTCAATGTTAAATTTCTTATCATATTGGCTCGAATTGACAAAAATTGCACTCCTTAAAAGAATTGCTCCCGTGTGTTAAGATCCCACTTTCTATTATTGTTCACGTGCGAAAAACACTCAAATACTGAAAAGGACACCCAAGTCACCTCCAAAGAGTTTGAACTCTTCCAAAAAATTATTTATTCTTGAGAAAAGATACACCAGTGCAAAGAAGCAAATTTTGCAGGAGAGCAATTTCGGCAAATCGGTTAGCTGGGTCGAAATCGGGGAAAAAAGGTTTTAACGGCAGTACTTCTTGTTCTAATATATGTGAAAAGTTTATAAAATCACATTATAACTCACTTGAAAATTTCACAGTAAGGCGAGAGTATCTACACTGACAAGAATATTTCCGTAAACCATGTTTTATGTGGGGAAAAATGTCAAAACTGAAGATTTCCGCTCAATTGTCTTCCCAATCGCAAATACTTAGATAATGTCAAGGTTTGGAAGAGGAAAAACAAGCGGCAAACCTTGACACACATTTCGCTCTAGAGCTCTGTAAAGTTTTCAATAGAATTAAAGCTTCTATTCTCAAAGATCGCGAAAAGTAACTGAAAAAAGGGGGAGGAGGCTTATGGAAAACCAAAATTCATGGTAAAAGAATCAACTTTAAGCTCACCAGCCTGTCGAATCGACAGATATGCTAATGCGTACAACAAAAGCAAAGCTGTTATGCCTATGGAAATATAGGCTGGATGGTAGTGTAGGAATTTTTTTTTTTTTTGATTCAACCATGTAGGTTCTCTTAAAGTTTTAAAAGTAAGAAGTTAAAGTGTTTGAAAATGCGGTATCATAATTCCGAGGCGAATTTTTACTCAAATGATAATAAATACTTCATTTAATAATTAAATGATATGTCCCATCTACGACTTTACTGTCCTTTTTGGTCAAAAACCAATATATTGTTGAATAATGCCATACTTGCCCATGTGGACTCTTAATTATCTATCTTGTCAGAGCTCGCCCTCATTTTAGGTGCTTTTGAAAGGTTTTTGACTGATTGGTCGGCATAAAGTAGACATTTTTTGGACAATTTTTTTTTTCCAAAAAATCGGTAGGTAATGTAAAAAATTATGATCGATTTCGGGTATTCAGCATCGAAACGTAAAATAAAGTCAGCGTAATTTGACACCTAGACAAAATAATTTTTCCACTCAGACGGAGGACAAAGAATGTAGCAGGACGAAATTTGATGTATTTTTGACGAAAGTGAAAAAAATAAATCCGAGGAATCGCGGAAACATGTGTTATATTGTTTGGTGTTTTTGATAATCTACAGAGAAGCGGAAAATACTGTTAAGAGGTGAAAAAAACATAATAAAAAATAGATGAGAATCGGTTGTCTTAGCGACCAACGAAAGATTGCGCGAACTTTCTCAAGATTTTGTGTTTTTTTTTATCAATAGAGAGGGTTACGTAATGCTACCTCTAACCATCTTACTCTGGAAAAAAAACACATTGGATCTAGGGTCCAGACTCTTGAAAACATTGACAAGAAAAAATACTCTTGATTCAATCGGATTTTTGCTTGAATCAAAACGAAATCCGCTAGAATTAGGAGGCTTGCTTCTTGATTTAAACTAAATTCTGATTGAATCAATAGTACTTTTTCTTGTCGATGTTTTTAAGAGTCTCGACTCAAGGTCCAATGTGTTTTTTTCTAGTGTACGTAACGCAGCGTAACGGCGACTCGCATCCCAGCCCCGCACCTACGATGAGCGTTACGTACTTCATGAACGCTCTCTGAGAAAGGAGCGTACACTGATGCAAATATTCGTGTTCTTGTGATACTTTTGGTTAATATAAATAGGAAGTGAAACATAAACCGGTACAAATTGTTTGTTGATTTTGGTACAGTTTGCTGCACTGGAAAAAAACACGTTGGATCTAGAGTCTAGACTCTTAAAAACATCGACAAGAAAAAGGACTCTTGATTCAATCAGATTTAAGCTCAAATCAAGAACCAAGCCTCTTAATTTGAGCGGATTTCCTTTTGATTTAAGCTTAAATCTGATTGAATCAAGAGTCCTTTTTCTTGTCAATGTTTTCAAGAGTCTGGACTCTCTCCAATGTGTTTTTTTTTCCAGAGTGTGAATTTAGCGCAGAAAGCGATGGAGAAACAGGGAAAATGCATTTTATCGATTGCGACGTTGGTATTCACCCCTCGTTTTCAATTGAAATTCTTCCAGAAAATTAGTGGGCATTTTCTCTTGAAATTTTCAACTGAAGGCTTGGGTTATTTTGTGTTTTACTTCCCGTTTTAACCAAACTTTCGTGTTGGAATTTCTCTCGGTGTATCGCTCGGGGGTTGCAAGACGAACGGGCTCCATCGGATCGGATCGGATCGGATCGACGCCGAGTCGGAGCTGGAGTCGGTGTGAACATAATTTGTAGGTGAATTTGGGAGCGGATCAGGAATGAAAGGGGTCGTATATGATTGATGAGTGAGCGCCGCGGCAGGTGAAAAGCTTTCAAAAGTTAATCAGAATTTGGAATGTTAAAAGCTCCGCCGATGAAAAGGAACATTGAGCATGGCGTAAGTGAGGCGTCTACAAAAGACGCTCCTGTGCTCGGAGCAGCGCAAAGGTCTGCCCCTGCCCCCTTCCTCTCAGTCAGATTCGGATCCCGTGCATATTTCCAGAAAAAAGCTAATAATGGCTCCTCTGGCCCGGGCCCTCCAACGCCGAGCCGCACAGTGGCTCGAATCGAGGAGAGGTCGGACAAAATTCGGAATTTTCAACCGCCTTTAACTCCGTTTATAAAAAACTTTGAGGTTCTAAAAGTGATACTATTGGTTTCCTCGTGAATTTGTCTCTTGTAATCGCCCCTTGAAATTCAAAACGTGACGAAATAAACATCAAAATTTGCAGGTTTAATCAAAAATTTAATGTCCTACCTTTTGCATTACTTCGATCCACTGTGCGTTGAGCCGAGCCGCTTACCCTCATTCGTGAACATGAAAATATGAGAGGTGCAGCCAAGCGGCAAGGCAGGGCTTCTCTCGCCGTAATCACGGTGAAATCTACGCCACGTATATCCTTCGTGAACCCGCGAATCCGTTAAACTTGTTCACGGTTTATCAAAATTTTCCGTTCGCGTGTTGTTTTGCAAACGAGTGAAACCCCAGGATGGACCACCGGGCCAAGCACTGGAAAAAAAAAACATATTGGATCTAGAGTCCAGACTCTAAAAAAACATCGACAGGAAAATATACTCTTAATTCAATCCGCAGATTTAAGCTTAAATCAAGAACCAAGCCTCTTAATTTGAGCGGATTTCCTTTTGCTTTAAGCTTAGATCTGATAGAATCAAGAGCATTTTCTCTTGTCAATGTTTTCAAGAGTCTGGACTCTAGACCCAATGTGTTTTTTTTTTTTCCAGTGAGTGCAAATTTAAGCATTCTGATACGTGCTTCCTAACCGTTTCTCTTAGAACACGATTTGTGCAACGAAAATTGCTGGAATCAACTCATAACTATGAGATTAACGTTTTTAGTTTACATTGCGTCCATACTATCTCTTAGGAGACTAATAGAAAAATGTACAACGTCATCGTTACGAGTATCGTAACTTACGGGACGTGAGTGAGGTCTGCAACTGAAGAAAAGAAGTGAAGACATGCTTAGGGCAACTGAGGTGGACTTTTGGCGGAGGTCTTCCGGTATCTCGAGAAGAGAGCATATCGACGGTGCAAGTCAGCCATCACATAACTCGTTTGCGGTGTCTGAAAATCTCTGCCTCTATGTTATTTTTTTAAAAGAGAACCTTGATCAATTGCTCTGTCTATTCCTTTAGTCGTTTATGGTGGTGGGAAATTCCCTGAACTTTCAGAGCAAAAAAAAATAGGTTTCTTTTGTTCCCTATAAAAACTAGTTTTGTGCTTCCAAGAGAGCAAACAAAACATCTGCACTAATCTGTTTGGCTAAAATTTATCCCCTCCCTTTTTTCAAGTTAACTTCTCTTTTACTTTTCATTTTACATTCATTTTGCAAGCTTTAAGCAATATATTTTTGGTTCTTTGGTGGTTTGGTTTTTGGAAGAACTAAAGAAATAAAAAACTAAAAATGAGATAGGAAAATCCCACACCTTAGGGATGGAAATACTTGCCTCTAGAAGCAGACTGAAATAAGTTGGCTATTCCTCGAATCTTTATGAATCGCTGAAGTTGTGAAAAGCAGTGTACCATTTTATTCACTGGAATACATATGCCATGATTAATTCCACCTTCTGTTATCGGTGTTGCAAGAGGGCCAGTCAGTGTATATGAATGCATCAATGATTGATGAGACCAAGGTGGAAGAAATGATAAACCTCAATCCTTGATGGATGAAATGATTCACAAATAATTATAGGTACGGAAGTGTTTACATAAAACCGGCATTATTTTCAAGGTGTAGAGGGAAAAGGAATTACATAGGTGGTGATTTACTTACAACTTAGTACTCATAATCTTTTTCATCTTTAATCTTTATGTCAAATGTCTTCAGAGCATTTTCATCGCAAAGTGGGAGAAGCGCTTGAATCTCCGCATAATCGTATTTTGAGTCAAAGTAACGTTTCTCATCAACAGCGGTTTTCAAGTCCTTGACCTCCGTTTTTATTTCCAACAAGAAGTTTTTTATTTCCTTCAAATCATTGGATTCGCTTTTATCCAGGAAACAGAAAGATTAAAGAGTAAAGTTTTGGTACGACTGGCCCTTTAAATGTAGTTTAAATGAAGAAAGTGCAAAAGATAGAAAATAAGCAAGTAAAAGGCAATCATCTCTAAAGAAAATATGAACAGGGGAGTATTCTATACAGGGTTTCTCAGGGTTAAAAAGAATACTTTTTTTTATTTTTAAAATTGTTTCTGAAAATGCTTTTATTTGACGCTACAGACCAAAAAAAAACAGTGGTCTCTTCGAATCAAACTGCGCACTATACATCGGTTTCGGCAGGCTCCTTAATCCAGCCATGTTTCTTCCCTGCCCTGTGCAGAATTGGCACTAACTTTCAAGAGTGTGCAAATCCACATAGGCCTGATAATTTTACTCTATAGTGGATTTAACTCAAAACCTCAAAGCTCCTGGTGTGCATTTTGCCAGAGCAGTGTGCTTTTTATGAATGATGCAATTGAGCAATTGTAAAAAGTATTTTGCTTTGTTTCAGGTACTGTGTTCTCTTTGAAGTTACGAAAGCAAAGAAAGCTTGCCGGAAAGAAGCTGAATTCTCGTCGTTAAGGGAAGGTAAAGACTTTTTCTTTTCTTGACTTATTCTTTTCAATGAACCTTATATTCAGCATAAAAAGCAAGATTATAGAAACCGCAATATATATATACGTACAAACCATATGCTAAAATAATTACATCAAAACAGCTTTTCGAAAGGCTTTCTGTCCTAATGAACAAATACAATAAAATTGGGTAAACAATGCGAAATCACACATCATAATGCGTGGAACATCTCGGATTGATGTCAATCTCTGTCAACAAGGAAGCGAACAATAACACCTTAAATAGAGTTTAACTAGAAATCAAAACGTGGACCCTCTATCAATGATTTTATTGTCAAAGTTTACGGACTCTGCACATTTTTCTGAATTTTCCATTTAAAGAAGATGGAGTAATTTTGTGCTTCGACGGATTATCTAAAGTATTACGTGTACAAGATTCAATGGTCAGACACAAGTCTGGAACAAGTAACTGACTTGCATAGGGGAGGCAATTCAGCTGTACCGCAAGCCAGCTTCCGTGCGGAGCAATTTCACCACAAGCTGCTGGAGTTCATACACAGCTAAACTCCTGGTTCATACACAACCAAACTTTTGGTTTTGGTCCGTCGGTTTGATCGAGCTTCCGGTTCACATAACCAGACTTTCTATTCATGCACATATAGTCGAACTCTTAATGCATGCGCAACAGAACTCTCGAACGGAGCCGAAGTGAGGAAAAATTTCGCCTCCATGGACTGGAAGCTCAATTCGACAGACGAAATGAACCGCGTTAAGCAAAAAGAAACCAAGCCGTATCAGCTATTGCCAAATTTAATCGGGTAATTTAATTTTTCACATGAAAACGATTGTGCCGAGTTTTGTGCAAATTTCAGTGAATTTTGTACTTAATACGTAGTGATTTCCTTAAAATTTTCGAAGAAATCCAAAACCAACATTCTCTCGTAAAAATTCAAAGTGTTCAGTTAAAGTTGGCAATAGCTTAAGTAACTTGGTTCCATTCTGCTGAACGTGGTCCAGATAGCGCGGGACTAGCGAAAACTGCGCAGACGGTTTCTGCGATCAAACCTTATGGTTTTCCTGTGAATGAAATGTGGCAACAGGTGCCGAAACGAGCTTGGCAGCGCAGTTTATCCGTCGAATTAATAGCAACCTTTGAATCAAGTCGCGAAACATACACCCTCCCCCTTCGTCCCTTACCTGGCTCCTTAAATTTAATTTCATCTCATAAAAGCCTCGTCTCTCGATATTTCCCGCTGCGTCATTGTCGGTTCGATCCTATCCTCGACTTTCTCCTCCATATCCAAGGGTTCAACGGGCTGATTGTTGAAATTGGTAGATGTTATGGACGAAGGAGCCAAATAGATACGGAGGGGTCCTATTGGTAAAAACTGGTAGTTACAATAGACGAAGGAGGTATGTAATAGACAAACTAACGGTAACCCACAAAGGGACCCTATATGGTTAGTCCATCATTTTCTCCATTAGTCTTCAGGAACCACCCATTTCAACCATTAGAATCACTCCATACTCCTCATGTCTTTTTTGTCTATCCATTTCAACAATTAGCCCGCAGGTTGAAAATAATCGTATGAACCACAAAAACTAGTTATTGATAATGAAACCTCAGCACCTATTGGATATTGACAGTTGTTATCAACTCATCATCTTCTATTAATTAACCGACCTTAATCAAACGATTTAGTCTCCAATTTTTAATGAAGCCATCTGAAAAGAAAGACGGAGAGAGGGGTAGAAGAGGAAGGAGAAACCTCGGATTGGACTCAGAAGCCGTGGCTGGGACAAATCTATAGCCTTTCCCAGTACCCTGGCTGTGGTCGAAACTTTTGATTTTATGAATTTATAATTTTCTCCAGGGATACAGTTCCCATTTAACCTATTGTTTTGGTCGTCAAGATTCGCGTCGAGCAATTTGCATCTTACTTGGATTTGTTCGACACACAAAAAATAAGTAATGCAGCGGTCTAATGATGAGGCCTAGAAAGTTAAAATATTCACCGGTCGCCGGAAGTCTTGCGTTGTATCTCGCTCTATTTTAGTCTATCATTGCCGGAATGTAAGATAGCCGTGAAGTTATTGTGAGAGCAATGTCAAGTTTTTTATGACTAAATCGCACCGCAAGGCTGTTGGTAAAATTCGCGGTATTGTTAATGTGTATATCTGCGGATTTTTTTTTCTTTTTCTTTTTTTAATGCACGTGACTTATACTTGTCAAATTGCGAAGCTATAGCCTTATGTACCTAACTGAAGCGTAATAAGAGGAAAAGAGGAAGAGAATTAGAAGGGTGAGCCCTCTGAACATGTGTCCGAAGCACATGATAAGGATGTCACGATCAGGTAAAAGTAAGGGAAGAAATGTTCCTCATCAGCCTTTCATCAATACATTTCATTTGATATTCCCTTCACCACAATTCATAGGCTAGTGAGGAAAAATTTTCAGTTATTCTTCATGCGAGTCACCCCAAAGGCTGAGAATTTTTTTGAATATCACACAGTTTTTGTGAAGCAGAGCAGAAAAAACATGGAAATAATATGATAGTTGTAACGGTTACAATATCGCGTTTTGATGGACTAAGCGTTGAGATCAGCAAAAATATATAAGGTCCGTTTAAACGCCGAATTACCATGTCCAGTTTTAACTGAGCTATCGCCCATCGTAAAACACCGTGTATGACATTAATCAACGTAGCGATCTCTTTCACCTTGATGCACGACTAACGTCTTACAGCATGTTTTTCCGTTATTCAGGAACCTAGATTCTTCGCGTTTGAGTCAATCTTATTACTTGTTTCCAATCTACGAGCTTACATCATCAAAACACAATATTTTGACCACACTGGAAAAGAATTCGCTTGGATCTAGAGTCCAGACTCTTAAAAGCATTCTTAAGAAAAAACACTCTTGATTCAATCGGATTTTTGCTTAAATCGAGAACCAAGCCTCTTAATTTAAGAGTAATTCCTCTTGATTCAAGCAAAAATCCGATTGAGTCAAGAATATTTTTTCTTGTCATTACTTTCATGAGTCTGGATTCTATATCCCAGCGACTTTTTTTTCCAGTGTAGCGCCACTAACCCTCTATAGATCAATGTAGGACAATTTGTATTCCTCGTCTCCACGTCGATAAAGAAAATCAGTTGGCCCATTTGGCAACGTTGTTATTCTCAGATTTAATCGTCTCTTTTTCTTGATTGCACCACCTTCATCCCCATTCTCGAGCTCACAATGGGCCTACCCCTGCGGCCCTGCCCCACGAGCTTACCCGCTCTCTGAGATGATGGCTTTAAACTTTGACGCATCAGAAAGCTTTTCCGGTTGATAAGTTTCGTAAACGGACTGATTGGATGAGTGCCCTCTTTAAGTTTCTCTTACAATTAGTTTGCAGTCTGTTTATTCGCCTTGCGCGGATATTTAAAATTATTTTTTTAAAATATTACCGCCCACGGCCAAAGGAGTCTCAATTATCGGAGACGAATTACTCGGAAGAGCGATTTTTATCAAGCTATTGGTCGAAAAATCTATGCTTGAATTTTCTATGAGAGGGCTCTCTGGTATATTCAAAAGGATCGGGTGGCCGTGTTAGACTTCATCTCTGTGCCAATTTGGGCTTTGAAACTGTATTTTAAACCTACAATTTTGAGACCTTAACACGTGAATAATGGAACTTTCAAACGTTTTTTCCAAAAATCAAGCGCTTTTAAAGCCTCGAAACACAAAATCATCATAATTACAGTTTTTCTACAATTCTGGGTTATTTATACCACATTTTTTACGAAACACTCCCATGGACAATGATGTGCATAAAATATGATTTATAGTTTTCAATGGATGAGGGAGTGAAAAATGGATGTATGCGGATTCTTCCGTCGCTTAAATTGGATCTTCAGTGCTTTTAAGAATGACTGGAGGCAATGAATGAATCAAAATAATCATATTCTCAAAACATTCTCACTGAAGTTAACACTCTTTAATTCGTAATTAGGTATTATTGTACAAACACATAATGTGATCATTAAATATTTTGAAGTAAATGATAACAATACTACATCGGAAGAAAATTTTGATTTAGCTCAGCCTGTGATTTTTGAATTTTATTCCACTATCGATTTCTAGCAAATCAAACACAATATTTGACGAGCGCGGTTAAAATTAAGACTAACTAGAATTGACTCTGAGTAGATATGACTGCGACAAACCTGAGATGGTGGAGACTTTAAGACTATACCTCGAATCGAATTCAACCTAGTTCTTGTCTTGGTGATAGGGCGAATCAAATATTTCTTCTCAAGTTTTTTAAGCTCAAGAAAACTCTTTATCAAATTTATTAACATTTTGATATTACTAACAATGCATCGAGATAGCTGTCAAATGTAGAACCAAAGTCTGTAGGAATACCTTAAATATGTAGACTGCATGTCACTCTAAAAATCCAAAGTTAGAGGGTGGAAAGGTGTTGTATGAGTGACAGCTCAAAATTGAATCAACCCCCACGACGAACCTCAAAATCAAAGCGTAAAAGCCTCTATAAAAGGGATGAAAGGCGTCGTAAATTTATTCACGTGATAACGAGATGACTCTTTCACTCGATGCACGCATATAACACCTAATGCACACGTGTATATTCTCTCAGAGGCCTTGCAGGAACACGTTTTTGTCCTTGCCCGGTTTCTTTTCTCATATGTAAATTATATTTTAGGAATCATCAGCGTATCCCTCTTCCTCATTGTTTTGCTCCAGTGATGGAACACTAAGAACATTGACCTCGTTACAGGATTATCGGATTGTTTGTTAATGTTCTGCTCCCTAGAGGCACGGAAGTCCTGAAATTTTCATGACCTTCCTGATTCAGAACTCGTACAAATGAGCTAATTTTTGTTCGCTATAAGATTACTTGCCTGCGAGAGGTGAACAAAAATGGGAGGAGCGGCAGTGAGAAGATCGCATGTGAAACTTTTGATTTTCATGCAAGAGAATGGTCAACATGAATTCACAGATCCACAATTGTACACACTATTATAGTAAAACGGAAAGGGCACTGGCGAAGCGGTCACATGGTCGGTAAACGGAATACCAAAACAACGTGAGAATGCAATGATTGGAATGCGATACAATAATTGCAATAGTCGTCGAAGTGTAAATGAGTGTCGCACAAAATGCTATACAGTCTTACTGATCTATAATATATCGGTCACTAAAAGTGGAACATAAGAAATTCGAATTTGGTGAGGAGCGTATCGGCTATGATGATTTTTTATATCCATCCTCCCTCTTTTGCATTACTGCCGCGTTAAGGGAAAACGCTCTACGAGCTTTCAGGCGTTGCCAAGTTTCAATACAAATCGAATTTACGGAGAAAATTCTGAATATTATTTTCCAAAATTTTCAGACAATTTTGTACGCAATTTAATCTAAAATATCTGAAAATTTCAAGGAAAAATATGCATGAATGTTGTCAAAAATACATGTTTCATCAAGGTAAATTTGGCAACTTTCGAATGCTCATACGGCGTTTTTCCTTAGCACGGCAGATTACTTCTTGATGCATTGTACAAAATGTGCTACGTTTCCTCGTTCGCGTTCGAAGCTCCGTACATTCACCAAATTAACTTACGATTCGAATGAGTTGTAACAATTTGGTATTGAAATGCGTCATCTCCATTCTTTTAAAAACATTGCAGGCCTATGAGCTATTGTAAATACTCATTTTGCGCATCATCTTTATGGTGTTTTGGAACACTTCCGTACATTAATGATGGAAGAATGTGCAGATACCCTAGATGCGTTGGTCGGAATAAAATCTGTTATCTCATTTGAACACGTCTTTGTATTTTTGTTAATGATTGCAGTGCCCCCTGGAATTGAGTTCGACTTTCACGTGCCCTATCTCAGATGTACCACTTTTTTAAGTGGGCTAGAACTAGAACTTGGTATCTATACGCAAACGGGAATGATTTTGATGAAAATGAATTAATATTAAAGTGTTCCAATGGACCCTTAGACAAGATTAAAACTCAACAAAATATTGATCGTTCATGAAAGAAAGGGCTTTACTCAGGCAAATACGAAAGAGCGACTTTCGTTAGGTTACGTGAGCTGTCGGTGAAAAAGAAGCATTGAGCGGTTAAGATTATATTTCATGTCTGTAATACACACCAATGCATCTTAGTTCTGAAATTTTGTGCTTCAGACTTATTAGGCTCCAAATTTAAGTCGCTTTTTCTTAAAACTAAGTTATTTGAACTGCAAATCTCAAAATATCACAACTCCGATTTTGTTTGATGCTCTTAGGGCGTTTTCAGACATAATTTTTGCCTAACCCTTTTTCATGCCGTGGTATTGATAATTGAATTCAAGATTTTTGGAAATATGATCTATTCTCACGATACAATTTTCGTGGGTCGATTCGGCTTGATACGGAAACGGAAAATGCCACACCATGTAGGAGAACAGAGACTCCAGTAAAATGAGTGCACCTTAGCTCTTCTGCATGATACAACTATTTGAACTCTCCGGATGTGCGTGAAGTATCAGATCCGTTTGAAGGCTTTTTTGCGGTCGGGCGTCGCGCGATTGTGCCTCTGTGAAGCACAGTCCGCTTTCGTTTGTGGGTTACTGCACTGCAGGTTCACGATACGGTGGTGCGATTCATTCACACTTCGTTTTTCTCTTTTGTGATTGTGTGGAGGTATAGGGTTAAAAAGAGGGGGGGGGGGGGTCGAGCTCCTAACTCAAAACTCTCATCTCCAGTATGCAAGGTTAGAGTGGTCAAATCAACACAAACATTGAGCGCGAGCTCTCGTCAATCCTTAAAGTTTTTAACCGTAATACCTTCTCTTTCTCTCTCGATGCTCGCGCTCCTCTCTTTCTTTCCTCGTTATCCTCTCTCTCTCTCTCGCTGTTACTTAGCGGGGTCTCCATCTCTCTCTGGCGCTCACTGTCGCTGCTTGATCGATGAGCCTCGTTACCCCCCGATCCCCCGCCCCCCGGGGCGCCCCCTTCAATTTTAATTCCGCTCAATCGACACCCGGAATCTGCCGCACAAATGATCCCGGGTTTTTCTTTAAACATAATCAGGAAACTACCTCCACGTACTCTTGCACCGAATTCAATTTTCGCTCCGTCTCGGCGAGGTTCATAACAAATTTTCCTTGAATGACTTTCGGCTCATACATCACTTCCACCCGCTTTTTCACTCGACTCATCAACCCCCCGTTCGTCCGTCTCTCTCTTGTCCACGGTGTGCTCGGTCGTCCCTCTCTCTCGGGTATCGGGAAGCGGGAACGAATGGTCGTGGAAAGCTAACCAGAATCCTAATTTGAGCTTCTTTTGTTTCTCGAGCACACAACCTACTCTGTTTTACGCGCAGTCGAGTCGCTAACCGTGGCTCGTTCCTGTTTATCATCCCTCTCGCTCGCCTCCATTGAAATTGGAGCCGTTAAATGTTTCCTCGACTCGGGAGCCCGGCTGGCAGCACCCTAAAGTGACAAAACGGATCAGTTTCGCGTGTCGCCGGGGTGTGTTCCGATTATTGAATTCTTCCGTTTTAACGGAACGTGATGATATTCGTGGAAATTTCGAAGTGTTACGCACAGTATTGACAGATGGGTTGCAACTCGCTAGATGGAACCAAGAGCATTTCAATATTTCTAGGATTGTGCAATTCTTATATTCTTTGCACTGAAATTACTGAAACCTTGCAAAAAATCAAATTTACCACGATGATTCTCGTATTGAATCTAGTTAATTCGGAGTAAAGATAAAACTTGTTTAGATGATCAGTTTGTATCTGCCAGGTAAAAATTTTTTTTTTTTAACGACCTTTATTATTAAATGATACAAGACAATGAAAAGTGAACTGCGACAGATGCAGTGTATATAGATACAATTGAATAGTAGAAAGAAATATAAAAAGGAGAAGAAAGAAGTAACGAAGTAAGAGATAAAATAAAGAAATTAATTGGAGATTAAGTGACTCCTAGAGTCAAGGTCGCGCCGGAATTACAACTATGTATACCATCGGCGGGGGGGTCCTTCGGGGAGAGGGACATGTGTTTGCTTTTACACTTAATTATTTTTTCGACGAAAGATGATATGTAATTCCAATTTGCTTGGGACGATAATAGGAGGTCTTGAGTAGTCAGTAAAGTAAATTTTGAGCCAAGCTTGGCCTCAAGGAGATCTCGATCAGTATTGAAAAAAGGGCAGTGGAAAAAGGTGTGCTCAGGCGAATCAGGTGAATTACAACCTGGGAGTGGGCAGAGATTATTAGGGAGAATTTTAAATCTATATAAGTAATCGCAGAAGTTGCCATGGCCACTAAAAATCTTATTGTTAGCGACACCAGAATGCTTGTGGTTCCTTTTTGCAAAATGCAATCCAGACATATCGGTCTGTAAAATCGCTGATGCGAATTTTTACGATGCAGCCCGAGACAACGGTAACGGGAGAAAACGAGGGGGAAAACGGGGAAAAAGACTAAAATACAGCAATAATAAACCCGAGACATTTCGACCCAAAACTGAGTCATTTTCAGTCGGAAAATAAATTAGAAAATATCGAAGAAAACACCTAGGAACTACATTATAGTCTAAGAGCCAGCTGCACTTTTGGCGCCACTACTCCGGCACGCTTGAAACTTTGCAAATGCATAGTTTTGACCTCCCTAGTAACGGATCGGGAAATATCAGACCTCAAAAGTAGTGCATCTGGCCGCTGCGCCCCCCCCCAAACGGAAAAAAGCGTGTTTGAAACAGCACGTAAGAGCCACTTTGTAGCTCCTGATAAGTGTTTTATCGTTATTCCCTAACCTTTATTTGTACAAACGTATAGTATGGGCACATGTAACTTAGGTCTAGTCCGGCAGACGAATTCGAGTTCATGCAGCCGATCGGCAGACCTCGAAATTTTCAGATCATTTAATGAGATTTTCGTGATAAGATACCAGAGAGAAAAAAGAAAAAAGGAAAAAATTGTTCCTTCCTTCTCTCGTTTGCTCCTAGCGGGCATTATGTCCACTTCTCACCATAAAAAAATTGCAACCTATAATAAAAATATCGGCCTCAGTTAATGAAGAAGTCACCACAATTTATTGCCTCATTTGCAAGCCTTGGAAGAGCTTCTACAGTATCAGCAACACGCAATCGACGAATTGAAGAACTTTTATGGAAATCTGTACGGTACCAAGAAGGCAAAAAATATCAGTGATCCGCGGCATGACTTTTTTTGCAAAACGTACAAAGCAAAAGATGTGCGGAGCGCTTTACTAAAAATGTCAAGAATTATGATGCGACAAATTTTCCACCGTGCAAAAGCGAGCTTTTGCAACAAATTCTACACGTACATTACATCGCAAATGTGTGGAACACTGCAAGGAATTATCGCCTTTTTCACCGGACAGTAATGGTTGGAAAAGAGTTGACGAAAGGAGACGCTACCCTTCCACTGGTTTGACGGCAAGCAGGCATCACAACGTGTTCTAAATCTATTCACCTTTAGTTGTATCCGCTTTCTTTCGGTTTCACATGATCCATGTATCGGAACAAGGTAATAGAACTTTTACGGTACCCGAGAGGGGTCGTTCAGGCCCATATTTTCACGTTAAACTTTGTTGATTGTGGAGCCAATTTCGGGGTCTGCAGATAGGCCGCATGAACTCAAATTCGTCTGCTGGGCTAGAGCTAAGTTCACGTGTATCCATACTATACGTTTGTACAATATAAATAAATTTTTTTTTTTTTTCCATGAAGTATTTCATACGAAATCTCAAGATTTTAGTTTTCATGAAAAAATTGCAAGCCTACTCTCAGATGAAGCAATACATTTGTCTGTATAAACTATCGATTGAAGTATTCGTGTTGATGTGTGTTTCAGGCGAGCGAGTGTGCGTGCGGTGCGAGAGCCAGGCGATGCGGCCGGCGCTGGGCTACCGGTGTCCGGGCCACGGGACGATGGACCGGACGACGCGCTGGGCGGCCCTGGCGGCGCCTCACTGCCACGGCAAGTGGGTCCGCCTCGACATGGGACTCAACGCCCTCGAGTACGACGACACCTCCTGCTCCGCCTGCGAGAAGGGACCCAAGTTCATCTTCGTCTAGTCCCCGCACACGCCCACCCGACTCTACCGTGTAAAAAGATACCTGATCTAGACTAAGTAGATGCCCAATGGCCGAGGGTCAATCGATTTTTTTAATGGATTTCAAAGGAGGAAATCTAATGTCGCCAACATTCAAGAATCACCACTATTTCTTGATGAATGTTAGCAGTGCTCCCATTCCATGTCCGTCGAAAGTTCCGGGATTGGGAACTTTTTTGTTCCAATTTCTCCCGCTCCGTGACTGTCAAAAGTTCCGGGACTCCCATTAGACAGTTCCGAGAAAGTTCCAGAAAATGCAACAGATCCGGAACATTCAAAAATTCAGGGAATCGGAACTTTTTTGTTCCAATTTTTCCCGGTCCATTGCCATCAAAAGTTCCGGGATTCCTTTTAGGTTTTTTCAAAAGTTCCGGAAAATGTAACAGATCTGGAACGTTTCGGGAATTTCAAAAGTTCTGGGAAAAATTCAGGATTATCTCGAAGGTTCCGGTATTTGGAACTAGTTTCGGAAAATTGGAGCACTGAATGCTTGTGACTCCCGGTTTGTTTCCGGCCACTGCCGAGGAAGGAAAAATCTCGAGCAATCCACTGACTGTCAGAGAATCCGTGTTAAAAAGCGAAATTTATATCCTTTTCCGCCATGAGATCATATTCTCCTTCAATTGAACCAAAGAACAAAATTGGATAAAAATTTGAGAACAAAATCGCTATTTTTACTCCAAACAACGAAAAAACCTACTTTTTCCGCAGAGAGGGACCTGAGAGAAATCCCCAAGTTCTCATCAAGTGCTTACATGGGAAATCAGGAAAATTTAAGAAAATATCCGGAAATGAAGAAATTAAAAGTTCTAGACAGTATGCCAGTACCGTCTTGGCAACTTCCGCGCTGTTTGATGGCCTCCTTGAACACAGCACGATCTCTTTTCTGTAAGCATCCCTAAAGATTGGTAACTGCAGGAGCTCTAATCAAATCTCACCAAATAACACTACACTCATTGTCAGTAACAGTAACAATACACGCTCTGATGACTTCTCATATTTCTTCTCTTATCTTAGCTACACTGGAAAAAAAAAAAAACCCATTGGATCTAGAGTCCGAACTCTTAAAAACATCGACAAGAAAAAATACTCTTGATGTAATCGGATCTTTGCTTAAATCAAGAACCAAGCCTTTAATTTGAGCGGATTTCCTTTTGATTTAAGCTTAAATCTGATTTAACCAAGAGTATTTTTTCTTGTCAATGTTTTCAAGAGTCTAGACTCTAGATCCAATGTGTTTTTTCCCAGTGTATGTCCATAAATCTATTATGGCGATTTTCATAAATTTTCAGTCGATCCCTAGATAAACAACCTGTCTTCCATTTTTTTTATATGTTCTGAAAAAAAAAAAAAAAAAAAAAAAAAAAAAAAAAAAAATCATCGTAATATCACAAAAAGGGCTGGACATTTCGGGAGTTTAAGCCTCGTAGTGGCCATGGAAAGGCTTTCATGTTGGGTCATTCTTTGACGAGATTTCAACCGAGCCCCTACGGTTGCAACAAATAAGAAATGTTTCAGTACTGTATGAAGAGCGGTCAGCAAACGGCGCAAACAATGGTTATTACGTAAATCCGTGGTGACACAGTGTCTAGAATGCTCAATGTTTCCTCATTCCGTAATGTTTGCCTGATTTCCTAAGTGAATCCCTCGGTGAAAACTTGCGTCGGTAAATAGTTATCGAGTTACCAGCATTCCTGTTTTGTCATCGCGATGCGGATTCTAATTTATTAAAACCATTCCGACTGTTTTTGTCTCGCAGCGAGGACGAAACTTATCGACTGCGTTCCCGTCTCCAGTGGTGTAAAAAATAGGGAAAAATGCCCGCTCCAGCCTCAGCCCGATAAATAAAGCTCGAAAAATCAATTAAAAGTATAAAAGCTTATACACGACGACAGGTACACGCTCGCGCTCACACGGGTGAACCTTGCGTCAATATTTGCTTTGTCGCTGTTAATTCGCCGTTTTTTCTCGACATCGGCGTACTGTAAAAATCATAGAGGCAAATTAACAATACGGAACACGCACTGAAACAAATCCTATCTCAATATAAACCCCAGTACACTCGGCACGGAGCATGTAAAATAAACCGCCGCTCCCTGTGAAAACCAACTTGATAAAAGTTAAACTCTTTCCGTGCCATTGGACCGCATTTTATTGGTCATTGTTTCAAATAACTCGTTTTTTAGCGCACGGATTCCACGGAAAACTATATTGCGTAGGGCTTTAAAGTTAATTTGTCAAAGCAGGGTCATACTGACGCCTGGAGACTGCTGTTCTATCTTCGCTTGAAAATTTTAGAGTCATTTGACCAGCGAGCCCTGTTTTCAGAAGTCCGTCGCCCCGAGGAGACATTCTCCAAGATAGTGGCCAGATCACTTTATCGCACTGGAAAAAAAATACACATTGGAACTATGTCCAGACTCTTAAAAACATCGACAAGAAAAAATACTCTTGATTCAATCAGATCTAAGCTTAAATCAAGAACCAAGCCTCTTAATTTGAGCGGATTTCCTTTTGATTTAAGCTCAAATCTGATCGAATCAAGAGTCCTTTTTCTTGTCAATGTTTCAAGAGTCTGGACTCTAGATCCAATGTGTTTTTTTTTTCCAGTGTGGAGATTCCGTGACAGTTGTTCTAAAAATTGTCCCCGACTTATTTGACGTTTGCATCCATACTTATTTTATATTTGAGGTAAGAGTATTCAATTGGTTTTCACAGAGCTTAATGAAATTCTCTTGTGAGAAAGTTAAGTGAGGCAGGAGTCCCTCCTCATAACAGGCCACAATCTAAGCATTGAAGTTGAATCCTTAAAGAATCTTAAAATTCAAGAACAGCTCTTTGTAATTGTGCTTAGAACGTAATTGCCCAAATGAAAGTACCCCGCCATGAAATATTTAGTCTTGCTAAGTACTCGTGTGTAAATATACATTCATCCTAATATGCACAAAGGACTTGAATATTTCTTAATTTTATTAGGACCCTAATTTTGGAATGAACACTTTTATGTAATAAGTTGATTTTAGTTTTTGTACTATACTGTTCAATGATACTTGTTTAGTTGTGTTCAATGTCTATATTTTACGAATACTCTTATACGTTGTGATAGAGAAGCTCTCTGTGTCACACTCTTTGGTACGATCACTGATATGTTTACCCGTTAGATGTAGCGCGAATCCATAGCTTTTTTCTTTAAAAAGTCGTAAAAGTGGAAATTAAAGATTTCATGGTTGATTTAAATGCTAGAACTGGTCCTGCAAAGAACTTTTCAGTGAAGCCTAAACTCGGAACCCTTTAATAAACACCTCAATCAATGAGGAATTAAATACCTGTTTTGACGGCGTCCTTTTTGTTTCCCTGTTCGTACCGTACGCAAAAATGTTTTTCATACTCCTTTTCTGTTACATTAATATTAGTCTTATTTTATTTTGTGACTTCATATTTTGTATCACTCAACGAAGGTAATTTTTACGATTCTAAAGTGAGTTTTTTGTCATCTAGAGTATAAATTGTTGTAATGTCATAATCACGCTAACGGTATTGTTACAATAGCCACATATCTATGCTGCTCTTGAAAATCACAAGAGGGAATCTTTTAAATGCACCAAAAATGCAGTTTTTTGGGAGAAATATGAAGAAGGTGATTCAATGTATGTGCTACGCATGCATACTGTGCTATAAGCATTCACGTCCCCAAAAATCAGCATGTCAGGTGCCCTACTGCTACGATGAATATTGGCCCATGTTTAGACTGCATAGTGTATGCCCTAAATACTTGGATATCCTGTAGATCAAATAAATCCACGATTCTAATGAAGCCCTCTTCAAATTCGTATTTTTCCCGTGTATGCGTCGCAATGCCTATTCTACTTCTTTCGCCTCTTGACATGTGACCGAAGAGCATTAATCAATTTTCACGTAGGTTCTGAAAATTTGGAATCATACTGACGTCAGGGCTTACATTAACGTGTAGTCACAGCCGTATAGTAACGGAATAACAACATTTTTAAGGCTAAATCTTCAGGATTCTAAAAACTGCGTAATCCGTTTCATCTTGATTATTGTTTTTACCTCAAGATCCCATTCTGCGCAGGTCATGAAGAAAAAGGTACGAATAAGAATAGTATATGTAATATTGAAAAGAAAGCATTCGTGCATTTTTTGACATTTCCGTTCTTTAATCTTAAGGGATAATTAATTTTTAGTGTGACATATTGTATTTTATAATTAAGAAAAGACATCAAAATAAAATTCTTTTTATTTTTAACTCGTATTTCACTTATTATCACCATTGTGCCAGGAGCGAACAAAACGTTTCGTTATAAAGTTATCAAAATGCTATTTTAATTTAACACTCATTGCTCTGTCAGCCATAGTCATTCATAGTCGTTCCTTGAACTTAAAGACCTAACAAGTCAATTTGATTTTACTTTTAATTTTTTTTCGTCGGCCAAGAAAACCTTAAAGTTGAAGGAGCCTTTGAGAATATTTATGTGGCTTCTAATCTCTCATACATTCTCAAAAATGATCTATAGTTGTATCGGCCCGTGTTTGAGAATAAACTTATATTTTCGAAACAAAATTTTGATCAAAGCTTGTTTGCTGATTAAATCAGCACAGATCGCTTTAATATAACCACTTTTTTATGCAATTCCATTGTTTTTGAATACATTTCAATGTACCTTTTTGCCATAAAATGTATTCTATTCCAATCAAAACTCAAGTCTTTTTAACTAAGAACTTTATTCCTGAAATTTTTGAATTTTTGAGCTTGAGTCCCATGATTTTTTCCTTATCACATCTAATCGCATGATACTGCAATTTCAACACGGAAAAAAAAAAGAATTGCTGATTCAGCAATTCAATTGCTAAAAACAGTGATTGCAATGTTTCAACGCAGATTTTACAACAAAAAAATGCTACTTTAATCACATTGTAAACTAATTAAACCACGAGGGTGGTTAAAGTAGCATTTTTAATGCTACTTTGACCAATG